AAAATGCTTTATTTCCCCCCCCCCCCTCCTGCAGGAAAGAAGATATTTTTCACCTACCAGTGGCGTAACTACTATGGGCTCGGACCGGGCGAACCCGCCCCCCCCCAACCCCAATGGGCCAAATGGGTCCCCCACGCTAAGGCTGTGAAGCAAAAACATTGCCCAGGGCCTCTGATATGTCACAATGTCGTTTTCTGACCATCAGAATCCTGTAACATCTCTCCCCAAAGTCTGGGAAATGGTATTTCAGAGAGTCTAGATTCAAAAATTTTCCGGGTGAGCATGCCCTAGACCCCTAAAAACTCGTGCATATACGGCGCTCGACTTGTGCCTTTGGCACTTCTACTAGGGGGGCCTTCGAATATTTTGAACCGGGGGCCCCCTGATATAACGTTACGCCACTGTCTATGTTTATGGGATATTTAGTACAAACGGGATGGAAATTAAAGAAACTGAAGCATACTGGCACTTTTGCATGTATTTTTGACAGGCATGCAAAGACATTTGCAACAGATGCCGGGAGATACATTGGGTGGGGGCAACATACTGTAAGGTTCCAGCACATTACCCTGATCCAGAAAATCCTGGCCACTACATGAACGTGTTCAAGACTCCGAATACGCTGAATGATGGACAACAACAACCTGTTGATAATTCCACCCCTAGAGCCAATTTAAAATGTTTTAAAGACGGTGCCATTTCATCTGGCGCTAGTGAGATGAAAGAAGCAGCAGATCGGTAGTTTTGTTGAGGAGAAGCACTTGAGTATATCAGACATCTTGAGGAACTGCAAATTGTATCTATGATAAGAGAGAATTCCGGATTGTACTCCTTCGATTCCGAATTCTAGAGGGGGGAAGGGCATTGAGGGGCCCTGTAAAATATGAGCTTTTTTCAAGACATCTTCATCCCCCTCCCTCGGTGTAATAAATGTACTTTCCCTAATGTATTTATGCTTTTCCATCGAAATGGCAAGTTAAATTTGCCCGAAGCAGCCCAAGCTTTGGTAAGCTAGAATTTAAAAAAGTAAAAGAAATAAAACTTTCGTGAATCTTACCTGAAAACAAGAAATATAATAATCCTTTCGAGTGAATTGTTTCATCTACAAGTAGACTAAAAACTTAAAACTAGCACACTTTTTCCTCGACTGGAAAAATATCAAGATTTTCAGTCGAAACTCGAAAATTATGATCAAAATTTGTGCAAAAACCAGGGGGGTGAAGGATTTTATTTCAAGCGCAGGATCGCGGTTGGTCAGTGGTAATTGCCATGAGCCGGAGGAACCAATTGGCGTCAGCAAACATGAAAATCCGCCATGTTTTTGGCGACACTTTTTTGACTGACGAGAGATAGGAGCACCTCCTCCAGTAATATTATAGCTCAGTGGATGTGCCGTGCTCTCACTTTTAAGGAATTATCCTTGAAAATAGGAATTTTTAAGAGTTTTAAGGATTTTTTTAAGAAGTTGTTTTTTGTGCTTAGAAACAAGGTTGAAAACTGAAAAACAGCAAAAAAGGAGAAAAAATACTTTTTGCAACTATGTAACCAGACCTAAGTGTAGTAATATTACCAATTTAAGGAATTTTAGTGTAAGGAAATCTGATGAATTTTCGAGCTTTTTCTAAGGAATTCGAAAATTTGATTGTGAGAGCACTGTCCTTTAGCCTCCTCCGCAGGCATCTCACTGAGGAATCGGGTGGTGAGAAAAAGTTTGGTGAGATGCCTGCCATAAATTGACACAAAAATTTGCACTGCGCATACCGGCTCGCGCATGCAAATTCCGACAAACTCAAACTTAGGGGGAGTAGGAAGGGCTTGCGGCAAGGAGTGAAGAAATTTTTGTTTTCAACACGATGGCTTAAAAGACGAGTAAAACTGTAAAATTAGCGAATAATCCTGCTTTTTAACATTGTATATACACAGGGAACTTTGAATAAGGAGCTGACAACGTTATCGTCACCCGAAACGGCGATTTAGTGGAATTATTTAGAGACAACGAGTGATTTTCCAGAGCAGTCAAATATTCACGTTGCCGTCGATTGACTCGATTCATGTCAAGACAGGGTGTTAAGTGAAAGATTATCGTTGATATATACATATTTCTACTCATGATAATATGATAATAAGCGGAAAGTGCAGTGATTTAGTCGAAACTATAACACGAAAAGGAACGAGCGAAAATTGTCAATATATATTCAACTGTTGACATATCTGTGACTGTGGTAATATACTATTTATACTTCTTGTTTTGTAACATTGTTTTAATACGCTTGTATGGAAGGAAAATCGTTAATAAAAGTTTTCTTATTGCGGAATACACTGTTCAATTTATCCCTTGGCCTTGGACAAGTGACACTGTGTCTCAGATGTGGCAAAAATTTATTAAATAGCAAACGCTTTCTTAATAGCGATAGTGTGAGCGTTTTTAAATCATTTTTATTAACTTACTATTTTACTGCTTTAAAGAATACTTTTAATATAGACGATCCTAGAACTTTTAAAATTATTTGTTGCAAATGCAACACAGCTCGTAGTCTCCGAAGGGAGGTTGTCTGCTGTTTTTAACTAGATATTTCTATACTCATATTTAATTAATCTTATAATAATGTATATATACCATATAGTTATAGTGACATCTATGTAATATTATTGGGACCGCTGTAATTGGCCTCAAGCTGTTGCGGTTGCCCTACCATATTTGGTAAAGCTTTTAAATAAATAAATAAATTAATTAATTAAATCAATAGCCCTGTTTTAACTTTTAATATATGGGTGTGAGGTGCCTAGACATAAGGGAAAGGACAACTGGAATTTAGTAAGAATCTAATAGATTTCCAAGTGACGGTTTATGTGGTGCAACAGAATATAAAGACCTGTCTTAATAATTTGGCTTGGATTTGTTAACCAGTGGAGGCATTACATTCCATTTTGCTTGCCAAGTTCACAGGCAAAATATTTGCATGGATAAAATCCATTTTGCAAGGCAGATTTCCCTGTAACAATCAGTCACTGAGGAAACGTCCCAGTGATAGCTAGTGTTTTGCTATTGTTATATTACACAGCAACCACCCTGGTAATAGCCTTCCAATGGTGGCTATATATTAACTGTAAGCTGTGACAAGTTTACAACAATGACTACATTTGGGTAAGCTTTAGATTAACTCATTGTCTGCACTCTCCCACTGAAGAGTAAAATTGTCTCATGTTAGACAGAGTAAAAGCAGGCACGCCCCTGCCAACAAAGAGGGCTTGTTGTGTGTATAGGAGCATTATTGGGTCTTATGTGATATACATGCCAATCAAGAGTTACTATATTTTAAAGCAATATATGTCAAGAGCAATTTTATTTGAGCATGAACAAGGAAGATACATATAAATAGAAAATATGCTAGTGCCATAGCAAACTCGATAATTGGGGGGGCGGCTCATATTCATATATTCGTGTTCACAGACCATAAAAACAATTGATTTCAGAAGAAATTAATAACGCAGAACATGAGTATATGAATAAGAGCCCCCCTCCCCAATTATCGAGCTTGCTACGGCACTATATGCAGACACACAAATTCCTGTATTTATCAAATCATGGATGTCAGTAAGTGTAACACAAGTAGGCATATACAGTACTATATTAGAAAGAGGTTGTCACATGCATGCCAACTGCTTTTCACCACAGGGTTGGTAGGTTAGATGAATAATTAGGCCAAATCGTCTTTAGTGCCGTTTAGAAAACAAAGAAAATAAAAGGCCTAGTGTGACTGTGTTTGGCCTAATTATTCAGCAAACCTACCAACCCTGTTTCACCAGGTTTAGCATATTTACATGATATTAAAGCCATTAAAGGGGTGAGGGGAGTTCAATTTAACTATTCACCTGAGTGAAGCCTAGTTCACAAAGACTGTGGTATGTTGGCAGGTTACCAGTTCAACCAAATAATTCACAAAAGAATGTATGCATCAATCTCAGGCATATTAAATAATAATATGGTAGGCATATGTAATGCAGGCTTT